ATATGTTATAACCTTTTTATATCTTATTAATGTTATAACTAAAGTTATAACTCATATAAATGTTTGCACCCTTAGTACATATATAGTCCTTCGCTACGCTCGGCCTAATAATGTAATATATTATACCTTTAATAATACAATAATTTATAAGGGCAAATTAATCCTAGTCTACGGGTTTAGGTTATTATCCTAGACCCCATGTATAATTTTTTAAAGTACTTATCACGTGATATATACATTTGCGGTCTAGGATAAGAGCCTGAACCCGGGGTACATTTTAAGGACGCCCTATAAAATAAGTAATATCTTATTTAAAAGCTTAATTTAAACAAAGAATAAGTTTAACCATAAGAATATAATTAGGTTAATATAATTAGGTAAATAACCTTATTTTTTAGTATAAAATTTTGATTATCATATTACAGATTATGTACTTACTATAAGCAATTGTCATTGATAATCTACGTGTGCTTTTTGCATTTTCGCGTTGAAGCACAAAATATGGATGATTTATTAACATACTTTACCACAAACAGTTACCGCAAACCGCAAACAGGGAGCCGGAACGTCTACACTCATACGGATTTTACATTAGCCATGCGTCGATCAAACTAACGTCATAATTAAAACTATTTACCTTTTATAATCCATTTATATAGTTTTACAGCATTTATTATCGTTTACGTAAGCAAAATTTTAAGTCTTGGCTTAACCCCTCTTTCCGATGATGAGATCTTTGTCCAACATTTGTCACGTTGATAATTACTTTTACTCGGAACTTATAAGCAAAAATAATCAAAAATAACATATGATATTATGAAATAAAGAGGTTTTTACAAATATGATTGATTAACTTCGTTCCGAATTAAGTAAAGATCAACGATTTGTCGAATTAATGTTTAACGATTTATAAATTTTTTTCCCAAAAGCAACCTTCATATGCATAATGCATTTCGTAACATGCTTTATTAAACTTTAGTCACACGAATAATATATAAAATGAAGATTTTATGACGCATAAATTATTTCGGAATTTCGGGGAAAGTACCAAAATTTAGTATAAATTTATAATAAGTCAGGATTTTATTATAGATTGACAATGGAACGATAAATGATACCCTTGACTTTTTTTATATTTCTCAATTCTTCTCTTTCTCTTCCCTTTCTACTTTTCTTCTCTGACTCCTTTATTTCTTTATCGCTTTTGCTCACTCCACGCCTTGCAAAACGTCTAAACGATTAAACTAGTATAACCTTTCTTTCATTATTTATTTGAAAAGGAACGAGAAAGAGAGAATTGTTCGAATGAGTCCTTTTTTTTCAAAAAACAAAAAATTTAATATAATAATTTAATTTGATTTAATTTGATACTTTCTCTTGAATTAAATTATATATGACGAGATTTCTATCTATGGATCATTATACAGATTTTATTACTGTGGAAAAAATAAAAGTATATTTTAAAAAATTGGTATGTACATTAAGAACAATTATAACAATGAACGTTTATAACATGTCGAAAAAGAAGATATATTAACTAATAATTTTTCTAAAAAAAAAAAAAAATATTCCAGTATGAAAGATTTACTGAATCAAAATGGACACAATATTTCATTATTACCTCCATTATCCAGGCAGTTCTTGCCATAATTTTAATGTCCAGAATAATAGACAGAAATCATGATGTTGCAAATGAATTTAATCATTACTATAACAATGGAGGAAAAGATGACTGTTCAAAACTTGTCGGTGATAGAATAAGAAATATAATTGGTGAAAATGTAATTTTCCTCATATTTAATATATTTCAACTTTGGTTTTGTCAAAATGCAGTAAGTTAATTTTATTTTATTTTTTTTTTTTATTTAGCAAGTGATTATTATTTAGGATTTTATATATTAACTATGTATATATATTCCTAGATTTATAATCAAAATACAATACAAATTATAACTATCGCAGTTATCAATTATCTATGCGCTCTTGTTGAAATAGTGCAAATTGTTGAAATTAATAGATGGAAGAAACAAGCAGATGAATGTCTAAATGCTGATAAACTAGATGGTGACAAACATAGTATAGAAGTTAATGTTGAAACTTACGAGGTTCCATTGATAATAATACTATTAATATGTGCAACTTTACAAGTTTTTTTCACCTGGCAATTATATCGTCAATTTGGCTGGAATATTTATAAAAAAATTGGCGCTGACCTTAGGATGCAAAGTAAGTTCGTTATATATTCATTTTTAATCATTATTATAGTATTATATTGATTTTTATTTTTTTTTTTTTAAAAAAAAAAAATAGGACTTTATCGAACAATGTTAATTTTCGTCATGTTTTTAAAGATTGATCTTTTCTTTATGAGTTATTTGGCTATTGAAGCCTGTACAGTATCACCTCCCAACCGTTTAACTGATTCAAGATTATTTTACTTCCACGTCTGTATAACGATTATTATTGTTTTATCGCAAATACTTGCTTATCGTTCGGTAAGTTATTTTTATAATTTTTTATAATTTCTATAAATTTTAGTAAGTTTTGTTGTTTAAAGTGATATATTAATGTAATTTGAAATTATTAGTTACGTAGTGAGTCTTCCTTAGGAATGAAAATCTTTATTGGAGCTTGGATAGTATGTATTGCCGACTTTATAATATTACTTAAATTTTCAATTAAGTCTTCTAGCGAGGAAAGTTGGTACTTTTTCAGCGCCGTTAGTAAGTAAAAAAAAACTTCTTATGATATATATTATATATAGTTAGATAATAAAGTAATTTTTCTAATCATATTTTCTTTCTTTTTTCCTCGTGGTAGTTGTTATTGGACTTGTAATGGGTTTGGTTAGTATATTACGTGATAAATTTTTTATTTATTGCTTATTACAGGATACTAATACATAAAATATTTCACACAGGTAACGCTATTATGGTCAATATTTGTACTAAGAAATTTTGGAAAAGGTTTAAAACCACATCGTATGTATCATTTAATATGATTAATTAAGGAACGATACGTATTCATTAAACAGTTATTTTTGATATAGTCTCTAGACCCTACAGTTTACCTACACAACGACCATCCAACAACATTACAAGCTCATCAGACCCTCCTACTCGCCCACCGCGTTGGGCAATCGATGATTAAATGAAAGAAAAATGATTTAATTCTTTACTCATTCATTTTTTCATTAGTAATAATGCAAAAGGTGCAGGTTCACCCAGATAATATAAATTTGAAAGGGTAAAAAAAAAAAAAAAAAAAATTAGGTGATTAAACATGACCTTTTTTTTGTAATTTGATGAAAAAATAATGTTTATTTATTTTGTATTATTCAGCGAATATAAAGAATATATAGAAAAGTTATGAATTTAATTTTTCATACTATTAAAATGTAATTTTTATATCGAATTTACATTCTCTTTTTTTTTTGAATTCAAATAATTAATTTATAATCTATAGCAATTTCTTTGTAATTCTTTCGTATGTATCTTTATATTCTTATTTGTAATATCATTCTAAACAAAAAAAAATATTCTAAACAAACAAACAAAAAAAAAAAAATATCAATGTACACTACAACAACCTTTTATTGAATCCGAAGTAGAAATAAAGGAAAACGGTTATAGTATTAATAGACCGTTCTTTTACGCGCTAATTTGTGATCATATATGGCGCAGCAGTTGTATTTTTATGATGTAATTAACGAATACATCATATACTCAGGACGTTTAAATAAATACTAATAAATTATTTTTAATAAACTTCATCTTTTTCTTCTATATTCTTTACTTTCTTTTTTTTTTCAAATACGCACAATCATAATACATTTGGTGACTTTGGTAATTATTCCTGTAAAATGCCTCCAAAGAAAGATGCAAAGGATACCAAGACTAGTAAGAGTAAGGAAACAGACGGAACGAGTATGTAAAAAATTTTTTTTTACTTTATTTTATTCAGAATTATCGTGGTAGAGCTAACAATGATCCACTTTGTTACTTAATAGCCAAGAAAGCGCCAACTGCTTACAATATTTTTATGAAAACTGAACTTCCTAAGGTCAAGGCCGAAAATCCTGGCATGGATCACAAGGAAGCGTTCAAACTTGCCGCTAGCAATTGGAAAAATAGCGCAGATAATCCAAAGGTGAATATTTTTTTTTTTTTTAAGATTAATTTTCTTTAAGGAAAGGAAAAACTTTCTTGTTATGTTGAAATCCATCTTTCTTTATAAAGAATAAAGCTGAATAAGAGCGTCATGTGAGTCCGTTAAAACATACGCGACCTGATCCTTTAGGAATTGTAAGTATCATTTGATTTTATGGTTTCATCATAAAAAGACGTGATCCTTATTCACTTTTTGCATTGTTATTTATAGCTCTTTATATTTCTCTTTTTCGCTTAACTATTTACATAAATTACTTCGTGATCAACTTACAGAAATAATGACTATTTAAAGTAGATAGCTTAAAGATTTTACATGTAATTGATAAAATAAATTACTTTTTAACCTGTTTGTAATCTGATTATGTAAGTCCGTGACACAAGGCTAATTTTTTTAATAAAATGGTTATTATTATTTGATCTTCAAAAACAATTTCGCGTCTCTCTCTTTCTTTAGCGTTAATTTATCTTTCAATATAAATAAATAAAATGAGTGAATTAGTAGATTATGAATCATCGGATAGTGAAATTAATTCAAAACAACTAAATGACATTAGTCAACAAGAATCAAATTTATCTCTTGTCGATTATTTATCGGATTATCATTTATCAGATGAAGAGGAGAAAAAAAACGAAATTGATAAAAATTGGGAGGAGAATACTTCAAGTGAAACAGTACTGAAACGTAAAGAAATTTACGTTTTGGATAAAGAAAGTACAATAGCGAGGTAAACTTTAACTGTTATTAATTATTTAATAAAAACCTTTTTTGTTTCACTTCATTATTTTTTATTTAGCAAGAAAAGAGGATCGATATTAAAAGAATTACCACGAAAGGATTTACCACCGCTTCCTTCGGATTTTTTACAACTGTATCCAGGCAAGTAAGTGTGATTATTTAATTATCTCCTTGAGATTATTTACTTTTGTTCTAAAGATAATTTAATTTTTTTTTCTTTTTTTGGTTATAGATAAAAAAAGAAAAGACTATACTAAACATATTGATGATCCATCATTACATCAAGGTCGAATAAGAACTAGTCCGCATGTTGAGGGTAATTGGGCCACTCACGTTTATTTAGAAGGTACGCGCATATTTGATGTCTTCCAATGTATCATTTAAGTTACCGTTTCCTTTATTAAAATCCTGAGTATTTTAGTCGTACTTACCGAGGAAATGGATCTTATTATAAAAAAAATTAAGAAATTAACACAAGAAGTTGTTAATGAAGATGGTGTTAAAATTTTTTCATGTATTGAAAAACATAATGTCAATGATGACGTTGATGAACTTGACGATAACGATTATTTTGAAGAAACTAAATTGCATATTAGCTTATCGAGACCTTTACTTTTAAAATATCATCATATTGAAAATTTTTGGACAAAAATAAAAAAAGGATTTCTTAATAGGAAAAGGTAAAAGATAATTTATAAAATGTATCCGTGATTTATTATTATTTTTATATTTTTATTAAAAAAAAAGAAATTTAATTCTTAGATTTTCTCTGTCATTTGCCAATATTGCTGGTTTTTCAAATGATGATGATACTAGATCTTTTATGGCTTTAGAAGTAGGCAAAGGTTCAAGTGAGGTATGATGTTATGTTTATCATTGGATAATTTTTTTTGCAATTTTATTAATATTACAGTTAAAAAATTTTATTAGTTGAAATCGATGGTTAATATTGTTAATAAAGTGGCAAAAGATTTTCAACAAAAACCGTTTTATGAGGTAAACCCATGAAGTTATTTGATCCTCCTTTTTGTTATTTAATTCAATAATTTGAACTTTTTTATTTCATAGAATCCACGATTTCATGCGAGTATTCTATGGGCTCTTGGAGGATCCAGTATAGATAGTTCTTTATGTGATGCAATTAAAGAGACGGAATTTTTTGAATTAATATCGCAACACATTTTTTTTATCAATTGTATGGTTTGTAAATTCGGAAACAAGACGTATACTTTAGATTTGAAATGAAGTATGGTCAACAACAAAATATGTGTAATAAAAGTTGCTAATTTATAAATTTAATTAAATAAAAGTTAAATAAGATACGTAAAAGTCCATGATTTGCCTAATGTTGTGTTTTTTTAGGGAAACTGTAATTTTATCACCTCCGTGTTCAGCTGATAATTTGTCTCACCAGACGATCTAAATAAAAAAATTATAGCCAATGGAAATCAATAGAATTATCGTTTAGGGGGGAAAAAAAAAGAAGGGATTTAAAGTGGAGAAGCTGGGGATCGAACCCAGGACCTCTCGCAAACAGGGCGTCCTTGCAAAGCGAGCGCTCTACCACTGAGCTACATCCCCAAGTGATATAATTTACAAAAAAAATATGAATAAATATTTCATAGAAGTTTTCAGAATTTTCTTTTTATAGGAGGATTGGCGCAGTGATTTTTATTTATCAACAAACAATATTATTAATTTTGACGCTTCTATAGCTATTGCTAATTTAGATACAAGTGTTATTGTTCTTTTTAAATGCTAATTTAAATTAGGTAAACGTGAAAAACGCATAAGGTTGCAAAATAAGCGATATTGCGAACCATATTTTATGTGAAATTTAGGAACTGTTAAATGAAATTTAGAATATTCTAATTCAAATAGGCCGACTTAAAATGTTAACTTTTTCCTATATCATCCAATTTCGCAATTATATCTTCCACATTGGTATTTAGGCCAAGTTACTAATTTTCTATATATGGGAAGATTGCTAGGAAAATCATTAGAGTTGAATTGTAACAATCAAAAAGTCCATTTAGAGTTAATTTCATGTGACTTTTACAATATAACATTAATAATAAAAAAAAATATGTAAACTATTTAAAAAATTTATTTTCTTTTAACAGGTTGGATTAAATCTTCAAATACATAAAAATTCAAATAAAAATATTAAATATACAGATATATTTATTTAGAATTAACTGACCTTTTGAATTTCTTTTATCATTAATATAAATTGATCAATTAAAATAGATATTATTTATTTTTATATCTTTTAAATAATTAATATTAATAAATTTTATATTTATATCATATTTATTTATTTAATAAATTTAATCTGTTTATATAAATTTATAAAGTAACTAATTTTATTTAGTTTTTTTTTTTTTTAAAAAAAAATATTAAGAATAAGTTATTTTTATTAGTAAAATTGATTAAAATTTTCATTAAATTTTAAGATATTTTATTATAAATAAATTTATTCATTGCAGGTGTGATATTATTACCTTCTTTTTGTTACTTGTATCACACTTCTCCCTTTTTCATTTTTTATATAAATTCTAAAAACAAAAATTTTTTTATATGTAAAACCTTATTTGTCATATCTGTTAGTGTTATATAGTTTAGAGTTAAGTCGCCGGCAACTTTGATTAGGTTATGAAGGTAACTTCATAGTCTACTGATAGCTTCATAATATAGTAGTAACTTCATAGTCTGCTGGTATCTTCATAATATAGTAGTAACTTCATAGTCTACTAGT